AAAAAAAATGATCAGTTAGATGAGTTTCTTCCCGTTACATGGATATAAAACATTCATAGTTTATTAAATGAACATGCCCTCAGACACTGTTTCCTGCAAGATGTTGCGGGAGGGCCCCAGTACCGGGTCAGGTTGAAACACACTGCTGGGTTTGGTATGAGCAGGTCTAGTTATTAAATGAGTGGTGTCAATGGATTAAACCTTCAATCAGGACTAACCACGACAAAATACAAGCATTTAGTTTTATTTATTAGGGGAGATAAATCAAATAGATGTATGGTGTTGTAATAAAAATTTGACATGACAAACTGGTAATAGAAATACAAGTTTTCTTTTTATGTACTGTATTATAACATGATTTTTGAACTATTTGAATGCAGTGAAACAATTATTCAGCATTAAAGCATTGACCAAACCCCTGTCACGGTGGGATTACCCTCTGAATAATGTGTACTAGACTGGGCATATGACCATAGGTGTCATACTTGCTGCCGCTATCATATTGCAAGCACTATCTGTTCCTACAGTGGTGACCGTGTCCGCTATCTCCCACTCCAGTGCAACTTCAGAAACTGGCACCTGCTTCAGCTAATGTCTTTCCTCCCTTTAGACCACAAGAACCTGTGCCATTACACAGGAAGTTGTTTCACTTTTTGATGTCCTGTAGTCTCCAGTCGGTGCAAAACATACCGCTTTCTTTGTTTTATCACTTCTTGTAATTCATGGTAAACAACCACGCTGGAATTAAGGGAGGAAGTTAAGGTCAAACTAGGTAATGTGATTACTATGTTTAACCTCTTTTTTTAGTCGTAGAGGTTTCTAGATTTATCACAAGTGTTAATGCGTTGACGTTGACAGGCAACATTTAAAAAATGGATATCAGTAAAACTATTTATATTAATAACTGGGGGTTTATAATAATGGGGCTGCACAATGAATAGGTGCTGACGCTCAAATGGTGATACGTTACTATGAAGTATATCTTTAAGATGTCTTATCAACTTTTACTAGCTGAGATGGCAGAAACACTGCCGTTTTTACTGGTCACCTTACTAATGTTCACAACTTGTACCAGAATGATATGAAGTTAATTAAATGTATCTGACATATCCAAGTTCAACAGCTCTAATCTACTGTACTTCACAGGCTATTAACTTCAAATAGTAATACTGGTTGTCCTGATTTCCAAAATGTAATGATTAAAATGATGATATGACGCTAGGTAAACATTTCTCTAGAGAAATGTTCAATGTTTGTCTGTATTTGTTAGGATTTACGATATAACTGATCTGGTGATTGCTGACATTTTCACTCAGTCAGTCAGCTAAAAATGAAAAGGTGCTACCGTTGCTCTTTGAAAAAATGTAAACTGCAGAGAATATGTCATAGTATTTCAGTTTCCTGTATTTGTGTCGACCTATACTTATATAAACATGGGCCCTGTGCATATCGAGGGAATAAACAGATGATGAATTGTACATAAAGACTCTTGTGATAGGTCAATGCAGAATTCAAGGTTTAGTCTTTCAGACCTTAACACAGTATCTTTAATCATATATTGAAGTGCTTTGATGATTGTTTTGAAATAAGGAAAGGTTACATGTAATTCTCAGAAATGTAAATCAGATCATGTACTCTTAAAGGTCACCTATTACGCAAAATCCACTTTTTCATGTCTTTTATACATCAACATGTGTAAAGAGATCCTCAAAGTTTCAGTAAAAAAGATTCTCTCTCTTTTTGTCCTGATCCATTTATATAAAAACCTGTCTGAAAATGAGCTGATCAGATTTTGGCCACTTTATGATGTCATAACGATGTTTTGGCTTGTGTAACCATTAGCCAATCACCAACCAAGGTAACACCCGCCCACCTTATCACCTGAATCTCCTCCTAGAGCACCATTGTGTTCTTTTTAACCAAATATCTCTCAGAGGGGCGTGGGGAGGGGCTCCTTATTTTCATCTAAAGTAACAGACAGAGAATCAGCACTTTTGAAACAGGGCTGAAACAGAGGGGATTATGGGATGCTGCAATGATCTGTTTGGTGTTTGGAGCCAAACCCTTCAGAGACATGTTCTGTATATATATCTGAGACCTATAATAAAGTAATGAAAAACAGTATAATAGGGGACCTTTAAAGCCTTTTTTTAAAGAAATTAAGTTTGATTTAACAGTCAATAGAAAATCCTCAAGAACAGTTGCATATTCACACAAACAGATGATTTTAAAGCAGCAGTCCCGTTCCTGCAGACTTCTCCTGCCATCTGCTGGACGGTCCCCAGCCCACAGTCATTGTGTAGGAAATAGGGTCTACTGCATATCGTACAATGACAATGAAACAACCTTGAACACGGTCATTATGGTAAAGGACAGACAAATGAAAAGATTCAAAATATGCACTTCAAAGTAGCTAAATAAAGCAAAACAAACCAATGGCTCAAAGTAAAATGTATAATGTATAAATAACTCTCACTATGTATACAATTGTGTTCTTTCAATACCAGTTTAACAAATGAAGCTTAGCTATTTCCAAATGAAAAATTGTTGGCAAAGAAAACCTGCAAAAACACATTTCCAAATAAAAAAATTAAAATAAATGGAGGGATAAAGTGACCATAATAAGCTTTACCCTAGCAGAGTCATTTTGTTTTTGTTATGACAGGTTGGAGAATGACTCTCTGATTCTTGATTAAGAGTTAATATGTTTATATAGTAAATGTATAAGTGCCAAGTGTCAATGAAACACAAACTTTCTAAATATCTTTCAGTTTGATACAACTTGTAAATGTGATCAATGCACTGTAGGCACTGAGCTGATACCATAGAGATTAGGATAATATTTATGATAATGTTTTTGACACCATTGGCCAGGAAATGCTGATATTTTTCACCACTCACAATGGGTTCTGAAACATAACTAGAAGAAAAAAACGGAATAAGCTACACTCTTTCTGGGATATAAACGTCAAATTGTTGATGAAGTTAAGTTGACGATCTTGGTACTCCTTATTTATTATTCTCGCAAATGCCTGCCTGTAAAACAGTCATGGATCGAGATTATTTGGTCATTTTTAACGTTGTATACACACTTGTTACATTACATCACTTTGTATTGGCATTTGTCCAATGTGGATTATAATGTCTGCTTTCAAGAGATGGATAACATCAGTGGTGGTGACTAAAGGGCAGTGGGTTTGCATTGGGACCCCAACAGAGAAGATCCTTCACTTAGATCAGTGGTGTCCAAACTAAGGCCCGCGGGCCAACTGCGGCCTGTTGTCCTTTTTTATTTGGCCCTCAGCTTTTCTTATATTGTACTTCTTAAATATATATCTAAACATATATTACACAGTAGTTCATCTGTTAAAAAGGCCCCCTTTCAAATAAATGCTGTCAATTAAAGCCCAATAACTTATTTGCATAACAAGATTGAAATACGATTTTCTGCATGTGGCCCTCAGTGAATAAAGTTTGGACAGCCCTGACTTAGATGAAAGCTGTTGAGTAACTGCAAGCTTAGAGCACCACCTACAGGACAAACTGTGTCACACCATCTAAGATGAAATGTGAGGACCGGGGATTTCAAAGTCTGAGACTGAACATATGACATTATACACGATTCTCTTTCTCTTCCTGGCAAGTTATTTCATTTTTCATTACATTTTATTATTAAAATATGTTTATCCAGAAACACTCTCTACTACCAAGAATGGGGGGGGGGGAAATGCCTGGCACCACTGTACAAACTTAATATTCATTTATATTTCTGTGCATGTAAAATACCTGAATGCTCATACAGCAAGATTTTGAAAGGAGGAAGAAGATACTCAAGAAAACACTTGATTTGTGAGATGTTGCTGTACACCATTGTCCTTTAATGCAATAATAAAAATCCATTCTATTGGCAATATAAAACAATCAGTTAGTGATTTTGTGGCTATAGATCCTAACTCAAAGTCCAGTTTTCAACATTTTTGCTTTCTACAAACTCAGCCTATAGCAACTACAGAGTGCATTATGCTTAAAAAGAACCACAACGGAAGGCAAACATGCTAAGAGCTGTTCAGAACAGCAACACCAAAAAGCTAAAAGTCATAATTGAGAAAGTGGAAACACAACAATCATTCATCAAGAACTTCAGTGTTGCACTCGGTTGTACACTTAGAAAAACAGAAATAGAAGTTCAGAGCCAGGCTACTTTCCTACTTCCTAACTTCTGGAAATTATTGGATTGTATTGGATTCTCCATTTTACAGAAATGTACATAAATTGTCAGACAAATATTGATTGACAAAATGAAAGTGGATAGATGTTGCATTACAACAGAGCACACTCCATTCACTCCTGAATCTCCCCTTGCTCTTCCTGGAGTTGCTTTGACTTTCTCTTCGTGATACTTGGTTGGCATTCCACTCAATTATTGCATGTTAGTACAAAACGTTCAATTGTTTTCTTGTACAACTGTAGATTATGGAAATAGGTAAACGGTTAAAAAATACAAGAACTATGTATCATGGATCGGGGACACTTAAGCATCTTTCACGATACGTAATCCCTGTGGGAAATCCGCCAGTTAGTTTTGTTTCTGTTATTGCACCCCCTACTTATCCCTTCCATTTCATACAGCTGTTATCTTAATGGTTGCGCATCGAAAGTTCAGCAGCAATCCCGGTCAAAGTTGAAATAATTTTACCTTTGAGTGCAGCACTTTGAGATGCTGAGGGTTGCGTTGTCTTTTTCTATAGAAACACAACGGTCACATCAGCTCAGAACCATTTTACCGATGTCATGTGAAGACAGCGTTGGGAAACAGCTTCATCCTGTCTCTTGCTACAGCAAACCTCACTACCATGCTTCATGTTTACCACAATACAGAATGAAATGTACTTTCTATAGCTCAAAGTGCCTACATAAACATGTTCATGTAGGGTATGTTTCAGGCCTTCAGGGTCCTTTCTTTTCTCAAATGTAAAGGCGTGACAAAATAAATGTGCCTCTCATAGCCATGACTTCTTAGTCCGTCCCAGCTTGGCCATGTTGGCTAGTTTCACCTTGACTTTGTCTCTGCTCTCTGGACTTCTCTTGGAGGTGCATTCCACAGTTGAGTCTGTCTCGAAGGAGATGGCCGGAGGATGTGCGAGCAGACCTCCAGTCTTCTCTTGGGCCAGAGCTGCTGGGGTCTGCAGAACCAGCTGGCCCCTCAGAGAATGCTTGAGCTGCAGCAGGAGGGGGTTGTGGTTTGGGTACAGTCTGACGGTGTCCCTCTCCTGACTGCAGCAGGTGGAGCAGGCTGAGCAGAGGACACGGAAAATATAGACCCAGCCCAGGTAGTGGAGCTCTGCAATGTTGAGCATGAAGCAACCCAGGCTGATGCTGAACATGAAGTTCAAGAAGATCGTTTTCTCTGTGGCACGAGACACGAAGCAGTCTGTACGAGTGGGGCAGGGGTAGGTCTCACACGTGTACAGCTGAGGCACATCGAATCCAAACAAGAAGTACTGACCCACCAAGAAAGTGATCTCCATGACAGATCGTAGTAAAACGTGAATAATGTAGATGAGCAGAACCTGGTTGGACTGCTGGGTGGGGTCCTCTCCTACTTCGCTATAATGCTCCTCCAGAGGGCTTTCTTCTACTCCTTCCCTGTCCTTCACATCCCATTCCTCCCTGTAGTGGGGACAGTAGGAGGGCATGTTGACCCTCAGGGCCTCCATCCCATCCTTACCCATTTGTCTCTGTCGGGGGGGGCTCTCTGCGATAACCTGTGCCCTTTGGCCATCCAGCTTCTCATCCTTGGCAATCTTATGCAGAACAAAGACTATGTAGAAGATGGAAGGGGTGGAGACCAGCACAATTTGGAAGACCCAGAAGCGTAGATGCGAAACAGGAGCGAAGGTGTCGTAACAGACGTTGTTGCAGCCGGGCTGCTGTGTGTTACAGGTGAACTTGGACTGCTCGTCGCTGTAGACAGCGTCACCAACCAGCGCCACCAGCAGGATACGGAAAATGAGCAGCATGGTTAGCCAGATCTTCCCTATCACTGTGGAGTGGTTTTGGACCTCGGACAGGAAGCGGCCAAGTATGGACCAGTCACCCATGGCTTACCTTCGAGAGAAATTAAAAGATAATGTCAACAAGGTTGTCAGAGGTTTTTAAAATGTTTCTGTCCCTTATTTTGAAGCAGAAAGAATGTCATTGCAACCATCCCACTGTCTGAATTGTTTAATGTTAATGTTACTACCCCACTTTTTTGCACAAAGAAAATGCTTTTCAGTAAAGTTCAGTCATGGCTGTTATGTTCATGGTAACACGGTGAACTGTGTCAACACTTGAGTTCTTCGTACACAAAAGTCCAGCCTTGATCTTAGGAATATTTGTTTAACAAAAATATTTCTCAGAGCTTTACATAGGGCTTTCAACCAGGTGTCAGTAGGTGACTGAAGACGGATTAAAGGAATATTGACATCTGACCCCATTCATGACGACTGAGAACTCCATTCACTGAGGAGTAGTTCTATATCCTGGTTTCAGAAAACGTACAAGCTCTTATCACAGTGTTGAGAAGCTGGCTGGCGTTCACTGACAGAAAATACATATACTGCGTGTCACACAACTACATATATTTCTGATCATTGTCTGCCATGTTTACTTGTGCGTCTTCAACTCAGTTAATAGCAACAATAATGATAACTTATGTAATGATGATCTGCATGATGAAAGGAAAGTTAGGGTCTGACATTGCTAATGTGATAAATGTCTGATTGAAGACAAATCGAGCAGAGAGATAAATGTTTTAGCTTTCCTTCTTATAAATATCCCATTGCTCAGCCTCCCCTATAAAGTGCGTAGAGAAACGACTGTGGCCTTCAAGTAACGTTAGAACGTGAAAGTCCCTGTCTAAAGTCAGAGTGAGGTTTGTCTGTTCTAGGCTTCTAAACATGGCGGACAATCTATAAAAATCACTCCTTTTAATCTAACAAAAACACATGGATTCTTAGCTTCAGGTGATTATACAGTAATGAAAACTTAGATATGAATATTATATAACATTTCTGCCAATACATCCACTTAAATAAAACACACTAGACCGTTAAATCCTGTTGGGAGTTTATTCATAACTACTTATTTTGTTCCCCCAAGCTAAAACGTTTTCAATTCAAACATTATCTCTAATTTGTTGGTGTCTGCCTATGAAGAACTTGTCTAAATCACAAAAACTGGACTTCAGGTGCCCAAAATTCTAGAAAGACACATACAAATGAAGGGTAACTAAATGAAATTTGAACTCACCTTGATGTAAAATTGAGCTTTCCAGAATAAATCCTTACAAAGAAGCCTTTGCCATGCAGTTTGCATGGCTATTTTTAATTTGAAATTGTTGATGAAATGAATCCTGTTGAGCGTGGTAAGGGAGAATAGGCTGACCACACATATTGAGCCAGTCTATCTGAAACTGGCATTGTGCTATGTGGCTACAAAGGCTGGCAATGTACAGTGCAACAAAGATTTCAAAACAAAATGGGACAGGGGGGTTGGCTTTCCTCTTCTGAACAGCCGGGAACAGTCAGACAAAAAGCGTTTGGAACAAGCTAGAAAGGGGACACAATGCAAGCTTATGCAAAGGTTCAGTATTTAGCTCGCTCCAAAGGTACAAGTTAGAGGGGAATTAATCATTTTACATTTCCTTTGTTTTCCAGATGAAGCCACGAATATTTTCTTGCGCCGGCAGGTGTCACCTCTCCATTCAACCCAAAACCCTAACCCTAAGGCTCAGTTAATGATGGTCCTTGTTACTTGTGCACATTTAGCGAAAGGATGGATAAGCTTCAGCAGCGTGTGAGGTCAACACTAAACAACACAGGTCATCCAGATGTAAATACCAACTGTATCAAAGTCAAACAGATCAGAACCAGAAGTCTCAACCCCACTGAAAAACAACATGGGGTCAAGGAACTATGTGAAGGAAAATTCATCAGGACTTAGGAAAAGACAACTGCGGTACTAAGAGAATACGACTGCACTTACACTCGTGGTCTGATTAATGTTGCGTCACTGGATAGTATTGATGTGCGTCTGCCGTGGGTGAACTACCATTTTCATAATTTCCAATAAATATGATTGTATAAAACTGATTGTATAAATAATACTTTCAAGCGTTATATTCATCATTTTCCTTTTGGTTTAACATATTCTTGAGAGTTTAAAGTATAGAAGCACTTTGGCATGAGATGGAAAATGCCTTCCAAAATACATATCCAGTACCAGTAACGTTTTTGAAAATATAGCAGCAAGTTGAAAGTATTAAAGGTGGAAGTATATATTGCACAGTTACTTACGATATATATATATATACTATATTGCACATAAGTAGTATTGCACAACAGGGGCGTTAGTGTTTATTGTTGTTGTTGTGTGTGGGGGTCTACCAGGGGCCGTGGTGGTAGTCTGATCGCATGCAGGAAGGAAGGACCTGTGGTATCTCTCCGTGAGACAGCGGGGGGGGGGGCAGCAGCCTGTCGCTGACGGAGCTGCACAGTGAGGACAGGGTGTCCTGGAGGGGGTAGGACACGGTGTCCAGCAGGCAGGAGAGCTTGGCTGCCATTCTCCTGTCTCCCACCTCCTCCACAGTGTCCAGAGGAATCCCCAGGACAGAGCTGGCCTTCCTTACCAGTCCGTTCAGTCTCTTCCTGTCAGCAGCCGAGATGCTGCTGCCCCAGCAGGCCACACCATAAAAGATGGCTGATGCCACAACAGAGTCATAGAAGGTCTGCAGGAGGGCCCCTGCACCCCAAAAGACCTCAGTCTCCTCAGCAGGTACAGTCTGCTCTATCCCTTCTTATACAGAGCATTGAAGCTCCGTCCCTAACGTCTAGAGAATTCAAACAGCTCTCTTCATGGCTGCCACTTATATACTTCTGGGTCATTTTCCTCCATAAGAAACCTTCCTATGAAAGACTGTTACCCTTTTGGGTTCCCCTCTACCATGGATTTACAAGGGAATATGTTAATATTGCATATATTATAGTCAGTTGAGGGTCCTCCTCACTTGAAGGTTCTTTCCACTGGTTTTATTCGTGAAACTGCTGATCTCTGTAAAGCTAGCCTATGTTTCTGACCACAAAGGTAATATTTCTAGGCCCTCCTCCCATGAACTCTAAAATAACTGATGTATAATTATATAAAAACAGTAGAAGAAGCCAGGCCCTCCTAATTCTTTAATAAAACTAAACTACAGCTATTTTCTTTAGATGTATGGATGTTTACTTTTGTTAATTAATTTGTGTTAATTTTTAAGAATTCTAGTAAAATGTCAAGATGTTTACTTCATTGTGTATTTGTTTATTTAAAAAAAAACAAGTGTAATCATTGTTTAATCTAAAGGGGAGCAGTTACCAAATTAAAATGTTCACCTTGAAAGAAAAGTATTTCTTATTCTGAATATTATTAGTAGCCTATTTAAGACATAATTAAGTAAATAAACCACTACTACTAATTATAGACTACTATTAAAAGCATCCCTCATTCTGAAGTATTTCTTAATACATATTGAGTAAATATATCGTACTATAGATATTTTAAGTATAACGATATGTTCCTAACCTAGTAGCCCGTATTCTGTTTATATAAAAATAAAAATACTCTTACGTCATTCATATATTTATTATACTGGCACTACTTTTTCGTTGTAAACCTTATTTCTTTTATCTTACGGTCTATCCTTTTTTAAGGAGTTTTAAAAGAAACTGGAAAAGTGTGATTGTATTTTTTGTAAAATCCAGACGTCCTAAAAAAAAAGTCCGCTGGACTTGGTTCAGCCCTGGGGGTTACAGGAAGTTGTAGCTGCCATGTTTAGCTGCTTTGTTGTAGATTCCTTGTAGGTTTCCTGCAGATTTTAGCCTAAGTGTTGCAATGGAACCGAGCTGGAGTACCTTTTTATTCCAAGTAAGTAGCACAATACAGCTGTCCTTTTGACAAACTGCATACGCGGTTTTTAAATGGTGTGAATATGCTGCCTGCTAAATGTTTTTGCATCACTTTGTGAAATCCATTAGAGTTAGCCAAGCAAAACAAAGGTGCTAGCGTTAGCCAGCTAGCTAGCTTCACTGTGTGGGATACTTTAGCAAATTGCTAACCAAGCTTTATCGAACCCGAGACCTCTGGCTGTCTGTGATCTACGGAGTGTCTCCAAGGCCACCTTAGTGGCGTTGGTTACATTTCGTGCACCCTACCATATCCTAGTGTGAGCGTTTTCGCACATAAGTCAGCGTAAAGCTAATTTATGGAGCTATTGCTGTTGATGCGCGCGCGTTAGCAAATTAGCTAGTCGGTCAAGCTATTGCATTTCGGTATGCTAAGCTAATTTGCTAATGGGTAAGCTAACTCGGGTACTTTTTTCGTTTGCACTAAGGCAATACCTGCCACTATGCAGTTAAGGATAATTGGAAGAAAGTGAATTAGTGTAAGTCCCAACCTTAATTATGCAGATGAAGCAACGCACACAATTGTTTTAAAAGCATTTACCTTACACCAGACAACCGTCTGTTAACTATAAGTTGGCTAAAGCTAGCACTGTAAATTATATGGGACCTAGCACGCGGACAGCAGGGACAAACCACTTTAAAGACGCCAAACGTTTCTTCTTTTACTACAAATCTGGAGCCACCGACACCACACAAGAATGTAAATCATGTGCAACTGTAGTCATAGCTGATCGAGACTTTATGCCAGCCACCTTTTAAACTTTAAAGTAATATGTGGCCTTTTGTTAGGAAACACATAGAGCCTCTGCAACTTGTTTCAAGAACTTTTCTTAATCGTGGGAAAGCTTTTCATAGTCTGACAATGAAACGGAGCCTCTAACAAGTAACGTTAAATTAAGTTAAATGCTTCATGAATGGCCTTGCATCGCGAAGTGGAGAGTAAGTAACGCTGTGTTAGGTGTTCCAAGTGAAGAGTATGTATGTACATACAGTGGTGCCAAATGGTTGATCTACTTGCATATACGTGGAGTTTAATAGAGTACTTTAGTAAGTACATTTTTAATTGTCACCTGTGTTAATTGAGTTTTTGTTAAAGCCCTCTTCCTGCTGTATAGTAGTTAATTGTCTGACCACAGTTAGTATAAATATGCATATTTGCAAAATAGTAAAACCACCTCTGTGTCTCTTCATGGGTTTTTGGGCAATCCAAGAGTATCTTTCAGCACCTGACAGTTATGTATATACAGACTTTAATATTTTGGCTGTGCTCGGGCTTCACAATTTGCACGGATTGATAATTTCTTTTACTGAAAAATGTATTAAATTGTTCATGTTTTTATCATGAAGATTTTTACCAATTCTGCATAACCACCATTGGCTGTGAAGATGGTAGTAGCTATATGAGATTAGAGTTGTAGATTTTGTGATGTTTTGATTGCTGCAGTGAAAAATAAATCACTGCAGCTGGTCACTGTTGTGGGCTGAACACAGCTGATTTGAGGCTCGATAAGGCAGATTGCAAGATTAACAACATCATAATTACTAATTTGATGTCACACACTCTGTTTTCTTTCCGTGTCCATCTCTCTGTGTGTCTCGGTCGCTCTCTCTCTCAACAGCACTTACATTTCTTTAACAAAAATCTGGGCACCAAGTAAATACGTTTTGTAAACATCTTAAAACTAGATGAGAAGATGATTGGGCCCAGCAGGGGGGTCAAATTAGGCCTATACCATTCTTTTATTATTGTGATCTGTACATTTAAATGGAATTTTTTCCAACTTTTGACCATTAATCTGACTGCAAGACACACACAGTATTACAGCGCTTAGACACTGACTTTGCTCTCTGCTAAAGATGCTGTTAGTTGCCAGAATACCTGGATTTGGTGTGTAATAGACAAGAAGACTATTAAGAGGCTCTTAAGGTTCTGCTTGGTTCACCTAAGGTGATGATTAGCACTTGGTATTGTGTTCTGCTGTTATGATGAAGTTTGAGAGGTTGGAGTTGGATAAGCTATGGTACTCTTGGGACTGCCTCATAAATGTTGCTTTTTATATCATAACTCTGTATCAACTCTGTATAAAATAGCGTAACCCCTGCTACGTTGTAAGATGTTTTTGTACAGTTATGATGAACTACTTTGTTAATATTTTCACAACAATCTTCTTTGGTAGAGGGGAAAATAGCTAAGCAATACACTTTAAAATTGTCCTTATACAAGAAATGTTTTGAATTTCAATGTAATCTGCTATCTAGGAGGTTTTAAAGAGACAATTCAAAATAAGTATTATACGGCCATAATGCAGACAGATTTGTAGACATAATAGCGTTCTATCAAATTGGAATCTATACCCCGCCTTTCAGTGAAAGTAAACAATGACTTTGTTCTGTTTTTTTTCTTCTATTATTGCTCGTTAATTTCCATGCTCCAGACTCTGTTTCAGTACTATTTATCTGTCAGAACAGATCTTTATCAAAATCTTCAGAACAGCGTGATAGAACAGCAGGCCGCTCTCCTTGTTCTTCCTGAGAAACAGAGGGAGCATTTGGTCGTCCTCGGCTTGCTTGGAGAAATGCTAATTGCAGTAATGATTCCTCCCTGCTACAGTGTGGCGGATATAAAAGCGAGTCGACAACCTGTGACGGCCCGGCTCTCCCTGCCACGCTAAAACACATTGCGTGGCGTAGTAGTGACGGGGCCCGCAGTTGAATGGAAACCCCCCCACCCCCAAAGGGCCATAAGTGCAACACTGCTTAGATTTGTTTCGTTCATAAAAGAACACAGTGGGGGGAAAAAGCAGCACTTGGGGTTCCTGGCCCCCTCAGACCCCCCCCCTCCTCCTCCCGGCTGACCGGGTTGGGATGCTTGGCTGAACCTGAAAAGCTGCAGGTCAGGTCTTTAACCCTGCCCAGTGGTGATTACAGAAAAAAACAAGGCCGTCTCAATCGCCACATCTCCGGGTTGACCTTTCAGAAAGTTGTTAGTGAATCTCTTGCTTTCTCCCTGGCCAAAATATTCATACAAGCCCCCCCCCACCACCTTCTGTTCATCCTATCCCGTTGGGGATCAGCCGTGACCAATCGAACAATGCCTGCCAGCAGCTGCAGACTTGAGATGTCCTCCATATTTCTTTTTGTTTTTACTGCCGTTGGGTTACATTTTCTGTGCAACGCCCCCTCAAATAAATAAACCAATGAGGGGTTTCTTTTTTTTGAGCAGTAGATTTTTAAACACTTATTGTTTAAAACTTCTTTTTTTCTTGTTGTCCTTTTTTATACTTTCAAAAACACATTTTTCTAATTTCATGTATACCTAAACCCCTATCCTTTCCTCAAACCAACTTGGTAGTATTTCAAGATAATGAAGAATGCTGAATCTGTGACTAAACTGCCTCCTGTGGGTTGAAAGTTATGAGTTTTTGCTCTCATAAAGATGAATTTCATATTTATTCATAGGATGAATGGGACCATGTGTTTTATTGGGGAGAAACTGATTATATTTATCGGGTGATGCAACCCCCTACTCTGAAAGGGTAACTTCCCGTCTGTCTTCTTGTGCTGATTCTATGTCGTCCTGATCTCTCAGTTACTGTGTTTTTAATCCCTTTTCTTTTTTTGTTGTTATATTTATTTTTTCTTTACTGGGGACAGTTCAGCAATCCAAAGTTTAGTGTTCTCCACATTTATAAAATATGAAGTGTTCCACGGTGTATTCTGATGCTGGGTTTTTTTCTGTCGCAGCTGACGTTAAACTGACCTAACTTTTTTCTGCAAAGCTGAAGGCAGACGCGTGATGACATATAGAAGTTTCATTAAGACCCCATTTACACGGGAACGTTTGCGTTTACGCACCGTATGCGTTTTCAGAAAAGTCTTCCGTTCACACGCATTCGATTCATTTAACGTGTCCGTTCACACGAGACCGCTGGAAACGCTGTAGTACATATGCCAGGCCTGTAAGTGGCGCTGCTGCAGCCACAAAATACACCAAAAGCAGCGAAGAAGACCCCGGAGCATGGTTGCCATGGTTGCCCTTCTGTTTATTCTCCGCGGTGGACGGCGTGTTCTCCTGCTGTATATCTCTCCGGTAGAGGCGACAGAGGCTTTGGACATGCGGAAGTTCTCCCTCCATTCATCATCCACGACAACGCCATTGACAAAATTGTCCCACCAACTGCTAGTTCTGCCCGGTCTTACCCAAAACTTTCTCCTGGTCGCCCTTCTGGTTGTTCTCCGCGGTGGATTTAGCAACATGTAGTTCATGTTGTTCTCCATGTCCACTTGTTGCTTGTGGTTTTCGTAGAAGCACTGTAGATGTTGCACTAACATCTGTATCATGGTCAGTAGCGTCTGGAGCACAGCAGCAACCCTGTGATCCGCCATTGTTGTTGTTGTTGCATCAGCAATGACGCGGGGTGAGCAGGAGAGGCGGGGCTATGGTTATTTTTTCAGGAAATGTTCGTATAGAGGCATACAGACGGAGCCGTTCCAGAGCGTTCCGTTTGCAGATCTATCCACTTTGGGACCCGTTATCGTTTGGGTCCGTTTCTATCGTTCTGTTACGGCCTCGTGTAAATGAAAGGGCTATACGTAAGAGAAACTATGCAGATACAACCTGTTTCGTTCCCGTGTAAATGGGGTCTAAGTCACTTGTTAGCCACTGCTGTTTTCCATGATACATAGAAGCTTCGGACATTCACCAGTAGGGTATGTGTTGATGTATTTTCTGCCTTAGGACAAAAAGTGAAAAGCTCTTGAGCTTGTGTTAACCACAGAGCTAATATCAGGCATTTGACCAAAAATGTTTTTTAAAAAAACACTAAGGGACCAGGGAACCGCAAGTAGAAAATGCACAATTCTGGATTTTAGTACTCACTCCTGCACCATTGGTCCTTTTTGTGTCATGTTGTTGGAGAATGTATTGTTAACACCATTTACATTGCTCTGCCTCTTCTCATTACAGCAGGCTAACGAGGCTCTGCATCACCAGCATCACGTAGCCGGCAACAGCCTCTTGCCGTTGCTCAGTTCTGGAACAGAGCCACCTGATCAGAAACCTGTGCTGCCCATTCCCTTGGACCAGAAACCCCCTGTCAGTGCTGCAGAACTTCTTAAAGACAATGTGGCCAGTGGGACTGGGGGAGGAGGGCCTCCACTCGCCGTTGTAAAAAAGGAGCCTAAATCAAAGACGCCTTTCATCTGTGGCTACTGCAACAAGGCTTTCCGGGACAGCTACCACCTCCGGCGGCACGAGTCCTGCCACACCGGCATTAAGATGGTTTCACGGCCTAAGAAGATGCAAACAGCGCCCACCATGGTACCGCTCATATCCACCGGGTCACGTGAGAACAGCGGAAACCCTTCATACATCACTACTGTAGCTGGAATCCTGACTACAGCCACTACATCCACATCCACAGGCACCAGCATCATGACCCCAATGCAACACCAACACCAACACCACCACCACCAACAACAACAACAACAACAACAGCAACAGCAACAGCAACAACAACAGCAGCAGCAGCAGCACCACCAGCAGCAGCAGCAGCAGCAGCAGCAGCAGCAACAACAACAGCAACAGCAGCAGCAGCAGCAGAGCGTCCCTAAGAAGCCCCCCAAACCGGTGAAAAAGAATCACGGTTGCGACATGTGCGGCAAGGCCTTCAGAGACGTGTACCACCTCAACCGCCACAAGCTGTCGCACTCGGACGAGAAGCCGTTTGAGTGTCCCATCTGCCAGCAGAGGTTCAAGAGGAAGGATCGCATGACCTACCACGTCCGCTCCCATGACGGCGGAGTTCACAAGCCTTACATCTGTTCCGTCTGTGGGAAGGGCTTCTCAAGGTATGCAGACATATTTTTCTTAATTTCTTTCTGATGTAATCTTTTTAAATATGTATTTGCCTGGTTTAACCTTTGTTAAAGAGATAGATTTGAAAGGGGGAGAAGGGGAGATATGCGGAAAGGGACTGAAGTCTGGATCCGAATCTGTCTGCAGCTGCAGGGAGGGAGCTCTAGTATATCCAGACATAATGTATATACATTTTAATTTAATTTTTTTACTTCAGGACAGTGCATTTGTTAATTTTTAAAATGCCTTTGTCATCTAATAAAAGACATTTAAAGAAGTTGCTGACAAATCATAAGTTTCATTTTAGCCGATACATAAAATATGAATGTACTGGCGCTTAAACTGAGGAACAGCTTCGTTCACCTTGTTCACATAAAACATTTTTTAAGCGAGCATCAATTGCAAGCTCTATTTGCAATGATTTCTGTATTACTTTCTCTTAATCTTTAGGACTGTTTTTTGAACCATGTTACTTGGGTTAGTTGAGTTTTCATCACCGTGCTCCACTAGAGCGCCCCCTCCCCCCCGTTCTCAACTACCGCCACAAGTATATTTCAGATCTGTGGGAAACACTGTTGTTATAATTACTGCTGTTGGTAATGACACATTTCAAACCGTTTTTGAGGATAAAACTTGCTGTATAAATGAATTCTGCTGTAAATGAACACAAGGACTGTTGAAGGAAGGAGCTGAAGGATTTCAATTGTTTTCCTTGTCTTCATGTCACCCTGCAGACCTGATCATCTAAGCTGTCACGTCAAGCACGTCCATTCTTCAGAGAGGCCATTTAAGTGCCAAGTAACGGTAAGATTCTTTCTCCTCTCTGCATATTGCTCTAATGTTTGCCTCGAGTTCAGGCCTGTGTCAATATTAATGCATGATGGTCAACGCCATTGAGAACTCCTACGGCCAGATCAGATTAGAGAACATCAGAGGCCACCCAGAATCTACTACTTCTTAGGGGTGTAAGGATTTTGATTCTGAATTGACATAAAAAGCAGGATCTGCATTCTCCCAGTATTTGTTTGATATGCTTAACCTGCAATTCAAAGACAACATACCAAAGCAACATTAGCTCGCTCTTTTAACACGCCATGGCCACTACCTGATTGGAGGATGACGGAGAAAAAACATAACTGAAAAAAGCAATATTGCTGGATGCTTTTTTCAGTTATGTTTTTTCTCCATCATCCATGTACTAAGCACGTCATTCTAAATATAAATATATAGGGTCAGGTGCTTGCAAAAGACGTAAATCAACAAATCAAAAACAGGACAAGAAATTGAAATAAAGAATTGTGTTGCATTCTTAATTTAATTAACTTCAGAGTTTACCAGGAGATTACATTGTGTTTTTGTTTGTGTATTCCTGTCGCCAATCCAAACAATTATTGACTGTTTTTTTTAATTCACCCCAGGCTTGTACCTCTGCATTTGCGACCAAAGACCGTCTGCGCTCCCACATGATAAGGCACGAAGGCAAAGTGACCTGCAACATCTGCGGCAAAATGTTAAGCGCTGCCTACATCACGAGTCACCTCAAGACGCACGGCCAGGCCAGCTTCAGCAACCCGTGTAACAATAAAGGTAGGCCATCATCTCCGTTTACACCATCATTATTCAGTTTAACATCTAATCGGTTGGCAAGCTGAAACTGTGACAGACAACAACAATCTGTACAAATTCCGTTGTTGTTTTGCATCGTTATGTCATCATTCTGATATGGGTTTTTTTTTAATTCATTCCACACTCACCCAGTAGTGATTGAATGTACAGGGGGAAATGAGCCTCAGAGCTCCTTCAGTTTGTTCCAAGCCCCCAGGAAGTGAGCCGGGCATTGAAGCAAATGTTCCCAGTGGCTTAACGTTGCTACTAGAACCTCAGTGACAGACACGTGACGCCATTGGGCTCAAAATAACTTTATTCAATCCACTTGCATTGGAAATGAGACGTCTGTAAATCGGCCCACGAGAAGAATGTTTAATATTTACCACACCAGTCCCACACTGCAACACAGTCCAACCATGCCGACTGTCGAAGCTGACTCCCACATGAGGGCACTGTTGCCCTGTGCTAATGTAACCCCATATGTGTCTGTATTTCTGAATAGGCATAAGTGACTGGCAGTGGAACCACTCAGGGCCACGAAAAGGTAAACCAGTAGCTCGTAGCAAAACCCCCTAAACACTGAATTCAACAAAACACAAGTGGCCAGTTTTTCTTCACGTACCATGTCACTCATGTGCACAAGCATTTCTTTTTCCCCAGAGGACTGATGTAATTAGGGTTTTCTGTATCGAAGATCTAGTGTTTTTGCCAAACTAAGGTTACATTTCATGAAGCGGGATCAGTAGATCAATTAAACTAACCACAAACTGGACCATAACACTTAAGCTAGCTGCACACTACCTGACCTCTCTTCAGAGGTCCTCTCGTATTACCCAACTGACATTTCTGTCCTAACTGACCAGATTGATAATTCAATTTGTTTTGTTCACACACTTGTCCTCAAAATCTACCAATTATAATGTTTTACAAAAAATTCATCTGCACTGATCAAATTGGCAGTCTGTCAGTGTAGTGTCCAGCCTTAGGCGGACACAGAGCTAAAGATGTCAGTCATAATGTATACCTGTTTTAAAATGAACGTTTTTGAATAAAAGCAAATGGACAGTTAGCTGGTTAGTTTATTGATCCTGCTTTTTGAATTTACCCCTCAGGTGAGTTGACGGTAGGAGAGATTTTAAATAACTCCTTCCAAGTCCTAATTGACAACTCTCACAGAGGTAGGTTTCTTCAACACTTTTCCTACAGTTGACATATTAATGATTCATTGCCGTTTTCAGTGACCCCAGCTAAACAGCCACGGAGCTGAGAGGGCTGTTCTCCGTTGTGGAGGGGTAGTATATTCCCACGCGGTCGACCGGATCTCAATTTCGTTTTTTTGTTTTAACAGATGCCAACAACGTGCACAACAACTCGGCGAGTACGACGGCGGTCACACATTCTGCGGCCATCACCTCGGCTTTGAATCGCGGAGGCCTCATCGGCAACCCCATCACCATCGCTGCTCAGATGAACATCGGCACCAGCACGGTGAACATCACGTCACAGATGAACCTGCAGCACCCCGTCACCATCACCGGCCCCGTGAACCTGGCCTCCATCAACATCCCCACGACAGCACACATGAATATCGCTCACCCCGTGGCCATCACCTCTCCCATGTCCATGAATCTCACCGGGCCCCTCAACATCGCCATGAGGCCCATGGATAGCATGCCTTTTCTATCCCAAGTCCTGCCTTCCTCCCCTCCTTGGTAGAGCTTATTTTCTTTTTTAGCTTATGTAAACGCTGATAATGTTTTAACTGCCAAATAATAGACGAGCACGTCAAATCTTAGTCAAATGTTCCTTTGGACGAGTCAAAAAGGTAATAACTAATGTAGTACAAACTCATAGATAGTAACAAATGATTGCTATTTGCAGGGGTGACGCATTCTTTATTTTATTTGTACGAGTAGAAAAAAAAACGTTCATATATTCTTACTCGTGATAGAGAAATTATTTTGCGACAGTCTCTCATTGCAGAGAATCAGCATATGAAATAATGTAAGCTGCCTTCCACGAGAGAATCCAGCCATCGGATGATTTCTAGGGTTAGGCAAACTCTAACCACTTATCTTTCATAGTATGTTTTTTTTTTTAAATCATTTTTATTTTAGATTTTGTAATATGACATGTTACTTGTTAGACGCTTTTATCCAAAGCAACTTACATACTCAATACTGTGGGCAATCCCCACATATAGGACAATTCTAGATATTTTATCGAAGTGAGATGGGACTTTCTGTTTTTGCTACCCATTAAATGTATTACCTGTCACATTAAGATACTTCATCACATTGATGCAAACATACTGTAAATCAGGTTAACCATAAAGAAGTCTAGCAACATTGGCCTAATACACTCAAATGAAAAGATGTCTCAGTTTAAACCAACTAGCAACATTTCTGACGGATCAAGTTATTATCCTCTCAAATCATGCGTTCTAATGCTCTACCCTGGTCTATGGTGTAACTCACCCGGGTCGGACTTCTTAGGGCCATTCCCGTTTCAAACATGAAAAGAGAAACTGGTTTGACAAAACAAATCAGTTGACTTCTTTTTCTTATTGAGGTTTGACCCACTGTCTGTTCAAAGACAGTTTTAAGATAAGTTTGGCCTCTCATCTCTTTCGTCTGATCGAGACCATGATATCAAGTTGTAAGCTCCAAAAAGGCTAGAAAATGATCCTAAAGATCACATTAACAAGTGAAACCATTTCGAAGAAGAAGGAACTTTCTTATCCGATAATTAGAATTTGTTTCCTCTACTGCCCGAATAACCCAAAACATCTCACCAGCCACGCACTTAACGGACGGATGTTTTTGGACATTTTCCGCAGATATTCTGTGTAAATAATGACCATTTTATGCCAAAGATTTTCTAACTAGTTTCCCCCTAAATGCTATATTTTAAAAGATATGGGGAAAACCATAAAACACCATTAAACCCTCATAAGACACACAACTCTCCTTTTTGAAACACAGATGAAATGGCGCCTTATGCGGGGGAGTCTGATCTCTGTTTCCTTAGAAGCCACCTCTACCCATAATATCCGATTCTGTTACATTTCTTTGCGTTAACGGTTACATGAACAGGTTTTAGTACACTCCTTTAAAACCAAACGACTTCCTTTTGACTTTAGTTTGAAATTATTGGGCAGTTATTACAATATCAGCTGCTACGTTTTCACCATATTTGTTTTTATTTATCCATTGCCTACTCCTTTTTTCAAACTCGGGTAGTAGGTTTTACTATTACAGATAGTTGAGGGTGAGCTTATTGCAGCAGTGTTGGCATTAAACACATTATATGCTGTGGAGACGCACACCCTTTTAGAGTTCTCTCTCTTTTATTTAACCGCTGAAGGACGGTGTCGATCTCGTAAAAGTGAACGACAAGTGATTTTTTTTTCAACTGGGCATCTGACTTGGAACGTGGGTGACACTTTACCCTCCTCCCTTAGGCTTTGTTTTAAAGCTCCTTAAACCTGAAGTGTATTGGAGTTGTTCTTAAATGCTTCCTCTTCAGGCAGATTTAGTTTGTTTCCGTTGTTATTTTAGTGGACTTATCAGTATTTGATAGTTTATGTATTTTAAAGTTTAACGAAAGAAAAACAAAGCTTCCATTTCAGGGGGGGGGGTGAGTCGACGGTTCAGAGGCTGTTTTAGATCCATCAACTATCCCCTCCCCACCATGTTTGTGTTTTTAAATGGCTGGAAACCAGTCAGTGGTCACTGCTGGTTACCCTACACTAGTGACATCTGTTTGGGAATGTTTGTATGTATTTATATCAGGACATGACAGTTGAAGGTACAACAAAGAGGAAATGTCTTGTACTCAAAGCGTGTCCCCTACCGTTTGCCCTTTAAATGGCAGTATTATCAGAGGTCAACATTTTTTACATTTGAATTGATTTCGTCTTCTTTTTTAAACTGTAGAGGTCAAGAGAGCTACCCAGTGGCTCCCTATAATGAAAGCAGTCCCAAAGTGAACTCGTATGTTCATTTATATTGTTTACTTCAGCAGGTTTAGGATCCCATCACTGTCAGTCCAACTCAGGAAGGTTACTGAGAATAGTCTTTAAAAGAAAAACATGGCCATTTCTTTGTAAATATGAAACACTATTTTATTGCCTTTTTACCTGTGGGAGAGGGAGCATCTCTACTTCCACAGACTAGCAATGCAAGAACTACATCACTGATGTGGCCGTCCATCCGAGGAGAGACATGAGCAGCAACTGAAGGATAAGGCTGGTGTCGGTACCTTTCCATCATCAAATCCCTTCAAAAAAGGTTTAACATAGGAACAAGAAGGATCTGTGCAGCTATGGCTTCTTCAAATACATGAACACTGAGCATGCGCTCTTCAGATCGTTCAACCTACTCCTTACAATTGTCAAAGATTTATTGGTGGGAAAAAACAAGGTTTATGTAATTATTCTAATTGAAGGAACACAGTGTAAACCGTATCGTTCTGTGGCAAAGTGTTAGCGATATGAGGCCGTAGCTGTTAGCAGGTGGAAATCAGGTGTTTTCTACAGGAGAACTACACCTAAAGAGAAAACTCCAGCCATATCCTTTTAAAGCTGAATTTTCTCTGTAGACCGCACTTGCATAGCTCAGTGTTATTTTATTGTTTGTTTGGGATTATATTTTTAATCCTGGCAGTTCATCTTCACTGGAAAATTGAGGCTGTGATCACAAAGGAGGCTTTATTTCCCACTCAATATTAGCATGTCAGAGAAGCATAGTAGGATTCATGAATTCCACATTCATACGTGCTTTTCATGTCAGTCTGAGAAAAGGTGTTAGCGATTTGATCATCTTTAAAACTGAAACACTTTTTCAAATGGCATCCACAGAGACGGACAACCTGATGCTAACGTGGGAGGAAGCACTTGTATAATAACTTTGAGATATTGATATTGTGCATAGCAGTCCTATCATAGTACCAAAGCTAAAAATAAGGCAGTTGTAGTGCATTAACACAAATAGCGGTACACCATGTGTACTCATTTCCAGGTGAATGACTCATTCCTACACCACTATCAAAAACCCCTTGATATCAGAGCAGACCATAACGTTGTACACTGTAATGGCCAAGGCCCAGAACTACGCCTGAATGTGTTGAAGACGCGCTCTTGTCACGACCAAACCTCAAGGAAACAAAATGAGGGAACATGTTGAGCCTCTATTGTGATCTCAGCCTCAGCAGTTTCTGAACCAGCCTCACACAAAGTCCCACTCTTCCCTGGTGGGTGTGAGTAGTTCGTAGATGTGAAGCCTGTTGGTGGTTAAGCTCCTTTTTTTCACAACAGGAACTCTGAAGCACTTGCAGCAAACTGTAGGATGTGCACACTACAGAGGAGTGGTACTAAAAGGGGCATTTCTATTTGGTGGAATGCAAATTATTTAATTTTACAGCTCTCCTGGCTGCATCTGCATTTCGGCAGCCCCTCAGTTTTATTGTATGCATGCCAACACTGGCCACCAAGGGAAAAGCTTGTATGTGTACTGGCATTATGATCTTTGAAATTAATTTCCCATCTATATGATTTATTTTATTTGTACAATGTTGCATGTGGATGACGGAGCTTGTCCAGTGTAGGTTTGGGTTCAAAACCATAATTAGAAGGCTAGTAACTTTTTATGAAAACAAAACACTAAAAAAAAATTAGAATGGAAGGAAGTGCGCCGTGTCATTTGTCCTTCTCCAGTGGCCGTAAACAAGTGTGCCTGAAATACTTTGCAAGACTTTTCCACACGTCGAAGCTTCTTCCTCTCGATGTGCTGTGTGATGGAATCGTTTTGTGAGGGAAGCCTTCATCAGTTCAGACGGCCCCGTGGCAACCAAACTGTTAGCTTTTTCTTTTACAACATTATGATTGTGAAGTTCTCTTACTCCAGGAACAACTTTCAACATGAATTGAGATATGTATTTGGGTCATGTAACTGTAACTGATATTTAACCATCTGGTTTAATTTCTTTAATTTGACTTCAACCTAATGTGAAAAACATTTGGCCAAATATTGATTTGGAAGATTTCTTTTTATTTTCTGTGAAGTTTGTATGATGAATTTGGCAGATGTGAAGGCAAATGAATGTATATCTTTGTACAAACCATTTAGATCAGAGGACATGTTAGTTATGAAAGACACATGCAAGGAAAAAAAATAACCTTTTATAAATCTTTTTGTATTAGAACATTAACAAACGGTAATTTTTGTATATACAAAGGCTAGGCTTTCTGATTAGCAGAAAGGTAAAACATTCCTACATTTTTTTTAAATGTATGTCCATTGAGAATAATTATGTAAACATATGCGCAATGTTTTATGTGCCTTTTATTTGGGTTTGTCTAAATAAAAGAAAACGATAAAACATGATTGTGGATTGTCCATGCCGAGTCCCACAGAGGAGAGTCGATACTTTTCAGATGAATCTCCAGACTGACCCCCTGCCCTCGAGATGCCCCCCCCCAGATCAGGAGAGATTTCCTCCTCTCCGTTGCTTTTCCTAGCTTTAGTGGAGGATTGTTGGGAGGTGGTTGCTGAAGTCCCCGCTCCGTACGGATGTTCCTCCAGGATGTTCCTCCAGACTCCTCCGTGTCTTCACCGGCTCACTGGCTCACAGTTGGCCTGCTCACGATGAAAGTGCCTCTGTGACTTCGCTCATTGGAGTGGATTGTAGGGGATTTTGTGCCAAACCATGGTCTGTATGTGACGACAAAAACATTTAGGTGTTTTTTCATTCTTTAACTATTAAACTTGCAAAATGTTCGGGGCTGTGTGGCGTGTCTTTGTTTGGCATCAAGTGGTTAACCCACGTTGTAGTAGTAGAGGGTCGGTGATTCAATCCCCATCACACTATACAAACAAATGAACATGACACAAGTCGATATGATGCTTACTAACAACATAAAAAGACAATTTTACCTTAAATTAGGTTTACGTCTATGATAATATGAAATGTTTGTATAATTAGCACAATTGACTAGTTCCTGGATTTGAATTGAGCTGGTGTTTTTGTTGAGTTTCCAACTCTTTCAACATGACTTGGACAGAAAAGCCCATTTACAAATTACTTGAAAAATGATTAGTATTTTTCCTAGCCTACTATTGAAGACCTTGTTCATAACATATTGAAAATGTGCACTTTGGACACAGGTTGGTGTCTTTAGCTGATAGTTGTATTTCACTTTGTGGTTTGATACACATTTGCCTTCAATCTCCTGTTTTGGAGACTTATGCCCTGCCGTGGAAAAAGGGCCTTCCCGTTCTTACCACTAGAGGTCCCTGTGTTCAAACATCTGAACTGAGAGAATGAAAGGTGAGTGTTTTGGGAGAGAAACTCCTTCTGAAGGGAACTTTGGGATTTTAGCCTTTACATGCAACAACTTCTATAACACACTACAGGAAAGGGAAAACCCAAACAAAGTATAAAAGGGCTACAGCTCTACGCTCCTCGACTCTTTGCTCTTGATGGGATTCCACTAGGGATAGTACTTTTATTAGCTCCACCCCAGCCATGGTTCTGAGAGAGCTGATCCTGAAAGGTGATGTTAAAACACTGGACCATTGCTTGATCAATGAGAATTATGACAAATGGGTCATCCTGGAAATCCCCAGGTTTCTAAATAGCACACTACCTTCAAAAGTAACTGGCCGAACAACCTTGTGCAGTACGGATTAAGGCCCTCACCCACCAACTAGATTATTGGGCATTGGTAAAGTAGGAGATGTTGAGTGTTCGCCGGTCATGTTTTTTGCGCCGTGTGTCTGCTCCTTTGGCCATTTCCGTCGCTTCCATCATCACAGAGGGTGCAAAATAAACCGCAGATTGGATGTTCAGCTTAATCAAATAAGCACTAGTAGAAAAACAGATGAGAGGAAAACAAACAAGCAACTACAGTCAAGAGGGCACACACAGTCTCTTTATATTTTTCATCTTCATCTCATCTATTCATTCTAACTCACTTATGTGTCCACAATGACAGAAACGGTGTTGTACTGCCACTGTCTGCTGTTGTGAAGTCACCCACGACTGCCAGACAGGCAATGCAAGCACTGTTATCGTGTCAGGAAGTTGCAGCCACTCACAAGTGAATGCACGCTGATTCTGGTTACAGGTTGATCGATTAATGCTGGGCTGGCTCTATGGTTATTGTTCTTACAGCCTTATTTATGCTTGACTTAAATTGTGACTTTGAATGAAATTAATTTACTGTGGTAATCTGAGTCCTGACATGTGAGGTGTATACAGTTGATGCTAGACTGAGCTCGTGGTTGCAAAGGAGCTCAGTATTCTGTCGTCTCTTTGTGGTCCTGTCTATTTGACTCCTCTCCCAGGATGACAGCCACCCTGTAACTTAAATAAAGTTTGGAATGACAAAGGCTATTTGTAGTGCAGTGCCCACAAAGGGAGACCGCTAGGGAAACAATAAGCATTAAATCCACATTAATAACAGTTGTCAAGTCAATTTATTTATAGAACACATTTAAGAACAAAGTGACTCACAGAGAGATGAAGGTATAGTTAAAATAACATAGATATAATCATGAACATTATAACATGATTTTGATAGATATGGAATATATACTTTATATCATTGACATTATTCAATGGTTCTTAACCCTGAGCCTGTTTTTCAGGTCTCAGGCTCGAAAATGACATTCCCAGAACAAATGACTATATCTTCCCTTCTAAAAGGGGTACATTAATAATCTTTTTTCTCAAAGCAATGATAAACCTGTGAGTTGGATGTAGAAAAGTCAGAATCAATATAGATGTTTTTATTTTAAAGTAAATTCAGATTGAACATCAATTATAGTTTCCGTCCAAAAAAAAAACATTACTTATAGTGAAAACCACCCTTGAATGATGGGATAGTAGACAAAAAGCTCCAAACTATAACATATAATAAGTACCCTGTATCAAGATTGATGCAAAATAAGTGAAACTGACCTTTTTAGAGAGGTTTAGAAAAAGAACCCGACCTCTGGGGTCATTTGGGTGTATTTGCCATAGCTCCATACAGAACTCAGCTGCCAGGGTTCTCACACGCACCAAGCCCTGGCAGCACATCACCCCCACTCTCTTCAACCTCCACTTGGTCCCGGTCAAGTCCTGCATCACTTACAAACTCCTCCTCCTCACCTACAAATCCCTCCATGCCCTCTCCCCTCAGTACCTCACAGATCTCCTAAACCCATACATCCCGTCCCGCACCCTTCGATCCTCAGACTCTGGCCTGCTCTCCATTCCACCTTCACGCCTCCGCACCTTCGTGGACCGTGCCTTCAGTGTCGCTGCCCCCACCCTCTGGAACTCCCTCCCTGCAGAAATCCGCAACGCCCCTTCTCTCAACATCTTCACATCAACCCTTAAAACTCATCTGTTCAACATCGCCTTCCAACAATAACTCACTCTCCCCTCCCCACTTACACTTCCATTTCTGCCCCCTGTTTTAAAGAAGAAACATACAAGGACAAGACATAAAACATAAACATAAAACAGGCTGTTTTATGTTTATGTTTTATGTCTTGTCCTTGTATGTTTCTTTGTAAAGCGACCTTGAGGTTATGAAAGGCGCTATATAAATTCAAGTTATTATTATTATTATTATTATCTCTGGAACCCATCAGTCGATGTTGATGATTGACACTTCTTTTTAACCGTTAGAGCCAATAGAATCGAGGGGGAGTCCCTAAATCCATCTAAACATTACCATTGGTGAATGAGAGTGATGCGCAGCCAGCATCCCCAAAACCGGAAGCTCCGTCACACTCTATATGAAAACTCAGTTTATTTACATAAATGTTATGATGGATTATCAGTAATCATTTCAAAGTGACACAGAGACATTGGATTAACCTTCAGCAGCGTTTATATGCGTTTTAATGCCATTGAACACAACTTTTGATCAGAAAACAGCAAAGGTAAGACGTATTTGCCGCTTTGGCCCCGTAAAGTGAAGTTGTGTGTTGTCTTTGCTTGCCTTCGCCGCCGTGAGTTTTGGTCGCTCAGTGATGATACTAATACCACTGGAATCTGTGGAATTTCAGCTTTCAAATTATATCTAGTTTGTGCAGATCCGATGAAGTATAAAAATGTTGCTCCTGTGAGTTATGTGCTAAGTTCGTTGGCACCCTTTCGCTTAGTGCTAATTCAGAGGCTTGACGTTAGACTTGTGTTTTGTTTTTAAATGGTTCATATCGTCAGTTAGCTGAGTTTCTTCCCGTTAAGTGGGTGGTTGTCTTCTGCTCTGACAGCCAGGCATGATGGGTAATCTGTGACATTTCGCTCTCTCAAAAGTTGGGCCATTTTGTCCTCATGTGCCAATGAGCAGCTCTCATAGGAAAGAACGAGACCCCGCCTCCGACGCTGTATCCAGTTCTTATCCATGGTCACACATTGAAAAGACACAGCTGGAGAGGGCAGGAAAAAACACAAGGGCAGCTGGGTAATAACTCAAAGGTGGAAACAATTAGCACTGGGCAAACAATCACAAAATGCGGGAAAACAAATAGAAAGGAAGGGAAACCAGACAAGGCACAAAGAAAAAGTGTTTTACAAAATAAAACAGGAAACATGATCATGACATACTGCAGATAAAATAAGGATACATTACTATTTGTACAGTCACTAAGGTATCTTAATGCAATGTACAATGTTGTGTTCTGGGTCATGATGTACTGTATATTCTTCACTTTTCCATTTATTTTATATTCAAGCCTTCTTTAGATTTGAACAGATGAGTGACAACAGTAAGCGAAAAAAGTTGAGAATTAAAAAAGATTTGTATTTCTTTTTCTTTTTATTCTTTACAGTGTCAACCATTTTTACATTGGCAAACGTGTGAATAATTTTCCATCAAATGCTCAAGTCATAATTGCACATATCTGTCACGGTGGGGAAAAATAGGACCCAAGTGCAGTTAAAAATACAAAGAGGTTTGGTAACAAAAAGCGAGCTTTATTTCCAAAAGCCGATGACAAAAGAAAACAAGGAACAACTTAACATTACCAAAACCAGGGGAGTACGAGGAAGGAAACCAGGGAGCACGAGGAATGATCAGGACAAAAAACTTCAGGGACAAACATGGAGCGTGACATCAAAGACGGACAGGTAGCATGGACTAGCATAGACGAGGCAGGTAACATGGACAAAAATAGACGATCAGGGAACAAGAACATGAAGAGACGACAAACAGACATGGAGCACAGGACAAGACAAGACTAAATACACAGCTGGGCAGGGGAGGCAGAAACACAAGGGCAACAGGTGAACACAATCAGACAATCAGACACAGGAGGGAAACTAAATACAGGGAGGCAAACACAGGAAGTAGGATCAGACAAGACACAAGGAGGAAAACATTTCAAAATAAAAAGGTGGAAAATGAAAACTGTGGGGGAAACTTCTGTAGCAATGGAGAGTCAGGACTCAGAGAGACACGAGGAGAGCTGGAGCTTTGATGGCAAACACTGATGGTTTATTTGGAACTTCGGCCGGAGAATTCACAAGACATGTCACGGGCCACGGTTTGACCACACGGTTGAGATGCCACAATCAATTCTGAAGACCCCTCCTGTAGCTCCAGGTTTGAACTAGTTCAGAGTGTGATAATCAACATTCTTCAATAGATAGACTAAACAGCTGAGGACACTGAATCACTTTTGTTGTCGGTTATGGCTCGGGGTCATCTACACCCCGAGAAGGATGTGTTCCAGGTGTCCCACAACAATAACTATCTCTGACCGAGAGTTGCCCGGTCATA